ATTAACATCTTAATTTACAACAAGATAATTTCAGTTAATACCAACTTAGTTTCAATAATATATAAAAACGTTGTTCCTATATAGCTCCTCCATTCCCTATGCTGTTATTGCCTCAAATTACATTTTTACACAATATGTGCCCAACATAGATTTATAATTATTGTTTTATGTAGATTTTTAAAAATTGAATAGACTAAAAAGAGAAGTTATAACAAAAAATACATTAAGACTAACTTTTGGGCTTCCCTGGTGGCGCACTGGTTGAGAATCTGCCTGCCAATGCAGGGGACACGGGCTCGAGCCCTGGTCTGGGAAGATCCCACATGCCGCGGAGCAACTAGGCCCATTTGCCACAACTACTGAGCTGAGCCTGTGCGTCTGGAGCTTGTGCTCTGCAACAAGAGAGGCCGCGACAGAGAGAGGCCCGTGCACTGCGATGAAGAGTGGCCCCCACTCGCCGCAACTAGAGGAAACCCATGCACAGAAATGAAGACCCAACAAGCCAAAAATAAATAAATAAATAAATAAAATTTTTTAAAAAAGACTAACTTTTATATTTAGCTATGTGGTTACCTTTATTAGTGGATATTTCTTCATGTGGATTTGAATTTACATCTAGTGTTCTTTTATTTCAGATTAAAGGGCTCCTTTTTTCATTTCTTGTAGGGAATGTTTACCAGAAACAATTTCTCAGTTTTTATTTGTCTGCGAAAGTCTTGGTTTCTTCCTTTTTTGTTAGGCTTTTCTTGTGTGTGGTAAAAAAAAAAAAACAACAACACATGACATAAATTTACCATCTTAACAACTTTTAAGTATATGTTACAGTATTGTTAACTATATGCACATAGTTTTACAACAGTTCTCTAGAACTTTTTCATCTTGCATAACTGAAACTCTATATTCATTGAACAACAACTCCCATTTCCTCCTCACCCCAGCCCCTGGAAACTACTATTATTTCATTTCTATGAGTTTGATTACTTTAGATATTTCATATAAATGGAATCATGAGTGTTTGTCTTTTTGTGATTGGATTATTTTACTTAGCATACTGTCTTCAAAGTTCATACTTGCTGTAGTATATGACAGGATTTCCTTTTTAAGACTGAATAATATTCTATTATATGTATGTTCAATATTTTCTTTATCCTTTATTCCACTGATGGGAATTTAGGTTGCTTCTACATATTGGCTATTGTGAAAAATGATGCAATAAGTATACCTCTTTCATTCCTGCAAGATCATTTTGCTGGATATATAATTCTTGGTTGACAGGGTTTTTTTTTTCTTTTAGCATTTTGAATATGTTGTCTCATACCCTCTGGCCTCTGTGGTTTCTGATGAGAAATCAGCCGTTAATCTTATTGATGATCACTTGTACTTGACAAGTCATTGCTCTCTTGCTGATTTCATGATTCTCTTTGTCTTTGATTTTTGACAGTTTGATTATAATGTATCTTGGTGTGTATCTCCTTGATTTTGTCCTACTTGAAGTTCACTGAGCTTGTTGAATATGACCATTCACATCTTTTATCAAATCTAGGAGGTTGGGCTTCCCTGGTGGCGCAGTGGTTGAGAGTCTGCCTGCCGATGCAGGGGACACGGGTTCGTGCCCCGGTCCGGGAAGATCCCACATGCCGCGGAGTGGCTGGGCCCGTGAGCCATGGCTGCTGAGCCTGCGTGTCCCGCAACGGGAGAGGCCACAACAGTGAGATGCCCGCGTACAGGAAAAACAACAACGACAAAAAAAAAAAATCTAGGAGGTTTTCAGCCATTATTTCTTCAAACATTCTTTCTGTCCCTTTCTCTTCTCTCCTTCTGGGACTCCAATTACGTGTACATTGGTATGCTTGGTGGTGTCTCACAAATTTCTGAGATTCTTCATTTTTTTCATTCATTTTTCTTTGTTCTCCTCAGATCAGATAATCTCAATTGACCTATCTTTAATTTCACTGACTCTTTCTTTTGCATATTTAAATCTGCTGTTGAACCCTCAAGTGAATTTTTAATTTCAGTTATACATTTTTCAGCTCCAGAATTTCTATTTGGTTCATTTTTAAATAATCTCTATTTATTTATTGATATTCTCTATTTGATGAGACTTTGTTCTCCTGGTTTCCTTTACTTCTTTGTACAAGTACCTTTTGAATATTATAATGCAGCATCTACAGAAATTATATTCTTTCCTCCCCAAGGTTTGCTGTTCCTGCTTGTTGTAGTTGTTGTTTGTTTCTTTATTGAGTTTTCTGAATTAATTTTGTAAACACTTTTTTTTTGGTCATGTGGGCCACTGAAGTCTCTGTTCAATTATATCAGTGATCAGCTAATGACTTGACAGATTTCCTTTAATGTCTGGAAAACAACAACAGAAAACCTCCCAGTTTGTTACGGGTCTCCATGTGCATGTTGTGACACACATTCAACACTTATCCAGATATTAGCAACTCTGCCTTAGATATCCAGATATTAGCAACTCTGCCTTAGACTTCACTTCCTGCTTGAGCAGAGACTTAAGGCCAGCTAGAGGTGAGAGCCCAGGGTCTTCTCCGGTCTTTTCTGAACACACACCAGCCCTGGGCATGCAATGCCCTTCCAGAGTCTTGGGAACTTTTCAAAAGCCTTATTCCCCAAAGGATCTCATTTCCCAGGATTTCCCCTCCCAAGCTTTTCTATTGCTTGTTCCAACTGTTATTTTTTGCCCCATGTAGCAGCAGATAATACATTTGCCTTTAAATGTTTTTGACAAATACCTCCAGGTAACTGCCTTAGCATCGGGAGAGATCCAAGTTACGTGAAATAAAGTCAAGTTCTTTGATCTGGTCTTTCAGGGAACCACCAGACAAGTGAAAAAAAAAAAAACTACCACAATTCTTTGAGAATAAGGTCTGTTCTTCTCTCTCTGGCACTTGGAACTTAACCTATAATGCAAGATGTCTTGAAAGCTGCTGCTGAATGAACCAGGGAGTGAGGGATGGAGGATAAGGAGTGAAAATCAAAATTCAACAAAGCTGTCTTACCAAGATTCACCTTTTTTTTTTTCTTGATTAAGCATTTGTCTGGTTGCAAACTTTTTATTACTTTCTAGAGGTTCTGATAAAGTTGGTTTTGACAGTTTTCTTTTTCCAGTTTATTTACTGCTTTTATGGAGGGGAAGAACTTTGGATTTCCCTCTCTACTTTAAAATGTTCACTGATGTGGGAGTTCCCTGGTGGTCTAGTGGTTAGGATTTGGTGCTTTCACTGTTGTGGCCCAGGTTCAATCCCTGGTCAGAGGAGTGAGATCCCATAAGCCGTGCAGGTGGCCAAAATTTTAAAAATTAAAAATAATAAAAAAATTAAAAATTTCACTGATGTCACTCTGATTTAGGTTTCTGAAATTCATTTAAGGACTTTCTACATCTAGGATAATAAATCTATTCCCTTAAATTTTCTTTTATTCTTTGAAAGATATGTTTTTTTAAAAACACATGGATCTGAGAGACTTCCCTGGTGGTCCAGTGGCTAAGACTCTGCACTCCCAACGCAGGGGGCCCGGGTTCGAGCCCTGGTGAGGGAACTAGATCCCACATACCACAACTAAGAGTTTTCATACTGCAACTAAAGATCCCGCATGCCTCAACTAAAGCCCACATGCCGCAACAAATATCCCGCACGTGGCAATGAAGATCCTTAGCACCAAACTAAGACCTGGCACAACCAAATAAATAAATAAACTATTTTTGAAAATAAAAATAAAAAACACATGGGCCTGAAATTCATCAGAATTTATTTTTGTGAACAATGTGAGAAACAGATTGTGGTAGGCTGAATAGTGGTCCTCCAAGAACCACTGAGTATTATCATATATAGCAAAAGGAACTTTGCAGATGTGATTAAGGATTTTTAAATGGGGAAATTATCCTGTATTATCAGAGTGGGTCTGAAGTAATCACAAGGGTCCTTAAAAGGAGGAGGCAGGCAATCAGAGTAAGTAGTACTAGGAGATCTGAAGTGGAAGCAAGAAGTTGGAGTGCTGCAAGGAATGAGCCATGAGGCAAGAAATGGGACATGAGGAAAGGAATGCAGGCAGCCTCTAGAGGCTAAAAAAGGCAAAGATACATTCTTTCCTGAAGCCTCCAGAATGAATACAGCCCTGCTGATATCTTGATTTTAGTCTTCTGACCTCCAGAACTGTAAGAGAATAAATTTGTGTTGTTTTAAGCCACTAAGTTTGTGGTAATTTTTAACGCAGAAATAGGAAACTAATACAGATTTCTTACTTTAAATTTTAGCCAAAGGAATGAGATATGACCTCACACCTGTCAGAATGGCTATCATCAAAAAGTCTACAAATAACAAATGTGGGGAAACGTGTACCCTAGTACACTGTTGGTGGGAAAGTAAGTTGGTATGCACTATGGAAAACAGTGCGGAAGTTCCTCAAAACACAAAAATAGAGTTACCATATGATCCAGCAATTCCACTCCTGGGTATATACCCATAAAATAACAAAAACACTAATATGAAAAGATCCATGCACCTTGATGTTCACAGCAGCATTATTTACAATAGCCAAGATATGGAAGCAACTTAAGTGTCCATCAACAGATGAATGGATAAAGATAAATGGATGTGATATATATACAATACAATATTAATTAGCCATATAAAAAGAATGAAATTTTGCCATTTGCAACAAATGAATGGATCTGGAGGGTATTATTGCTTAGTGAAATAAGTCAGATGGAGAAAGACAAATACTGTATGTTACCACATATGTGGTATCTAAAAAATAAAAGAAACAAATGAACATAACAAAACAGAAACAGACTCACAGATATAGAAAACAAACTGTGGTTACCAGTGGGGAGGAGCAAGATAGGGGTAGGGGATTAAGAGGTACAAACTACTATGCATAAAATAAGTATACTGCAAAGATATATTGTACAGCACAAGAATATAAGCAATATTTTATAACTTTAAATTTATAAAATCGATTTAATCTATAAAAATATTGAGTCACTATGTGATACACCTGAAACTAATATGATATTTTAAATCAATTATGCTTCAATAAAAATATTTAGCCAAAGGACTATCCAAATATACCCAATGCCAAGTACTAAAAATGTATCCTCTCACTGATTGGAAATGCAGGGGTTGGGGTGGGATGGAAGGGTTGTGCAAGAGTAACATGATCTGAATTATGTATTAAAAGGATCATTATGGCTGCTGTCTTAACAATAGACTATGTGGGAAGGTGGGGATAGAAACACAGGAAGATAAGTGAGGAGGCTATTAATCCACATGAGAGCTATGGTGACTTGAAACAGGGTAGCATAAGTGGTGGTGATAAATGGCTAGATTCAAGTTATATTTTAAAGGTAGAAGAAGTAGGATTTCCAGAGTGACTGGATGTGAGGTGTTAGAGGAATTCAGGATCATTTTTTGCCTGAGCAATGGATAGAATGGAGTTGCCAATTATTAAAATAAGAAAAACTATATGAAGAGCAGGTTTGGGGGAAGAAAGACAGTGTTGGACATGTAAACTTTTACACTCTCCAAGTGGAGACACCAAGAAGTGGTTGTAAAAGTTACTGACTTGGGAGTGGGGTCAAGGTCAGGACTAGAGATAAGAATTTGGGGGAGTCATCAGCATATAGACGCCACTTAAAGTAATGATACTGGATGAGATAATCTAGGGAGGGAAGGTGGATAAAGAAGAGAGCTGGGCATTAAGCCTTGGTAGACTCCAATAAATGCTGAGGAGGAGAAATCAACAATGGAGGCTCTGAACAAATGGTCTATGAGGTAGAAGGAAAATCAAAGAGATATGATGCCCTTAAAGCCAAGTGAAGAAATATTTCAAGAAAGAGGAAATGATCAACTGTGTCAACCACTGCTGGCGGTTAACAAGATGAAACTGAAAAATAATCATTGGACCTGGAAACATGAAGATTGATTACTTTGCCAAAGTTATAAAGCCTGAATGGAGTGAATATAAGAGAGAATATGAGGATAGGAAGTAAAATAGAGATAATAGACAACTCTTTTGAGGAGCTTTGCAGTAAGGTGGAATTGAGAAATAAAGAAGCTTTTGCAAGGGGAAGTGTGGTCAAGAAGCATTTTTTTGAAAGATGGGACGTACTAAATTATATGGCTCTGAGCATCCTCTAGCTAGTGATCTGACGCAGTATCATATTCCTCTGCAACTTCCCCAATACACTCTGCCCTTTGGAAGTCTTTGTCATAAACAAAATGTTCCATTCTCTCAACCTGTTCTCTGAAACTTTGCCTATTTATATGGATCAGCCCCATGTACACCAAGTTGGGCTGGGAGTAGAGGAGATCAAATCCCAATCACAGATGTTCCCTGCTCCTTCTCTTTTATGGGGAATTTATCACTAGATACATACCTTTTGTTTTCAAAGATGCATTTCCTAGGGATTCTCAAATTAGAATCACTTTTGGCCTGTGTTAATGATGTAAATACCTTGCTTCTACCCCAGACCATTTATGGCCCATGCTGACCAAGTAACCTTGTTTTTTATTATGTGACTACCTCACCCCATACCACATGGGGTGATTGAGGCCAGGTAGGCACCTGACTGAAGAACCACCAATACATAGGCTGGCCCACATCCTGTACAGTGGAATGACATGAAATTCTTTGCCTTAACTGAGGAAGGAGTTTGCTTACTAAAGACTGGACCTTAACAAAAAGTGTAGATGCAAGAACATTTTCATTTTATATGCTGCAAGCACCTTCTGCCACACAGGATGGAAAAACAGATTACTTTTAGGAGCAGACCCTCCCCGCACTCTGGAAAGTATTATTTTTGCATGATTTTTTAGTTACATGAATATGAGTCAAGTATCTACCAACTTTCCTTGGGGAATTCTGTAAAAATATACAAATATAGATGGTCTATGTTGAAAAATCGAGGGTCCTATTTAAAGGGGTAAATTGTTTTTGTTTCTTTTTAGCAGAACCACATCCCTGAAAATGATATTAAAAACATTTTTTCTTAATCTGGAAATAGAATAGCCTACACCTAAAAATCACTGTTTTGAAGGAAGGGATGTGATTTTGTCCAAGTAACTAGAAGTAGGAAATTAGAGCTGAAGACAAGCCACAAATATCCAAAACGAGCTTCACTGCTTGGTTGTAAGCCTATTATAAAAGATTGAGTTGTTCACATTTTGGAAAATGGACGGCTCATTATTTTCAGAGGAATCTTTTGATGAGAACCTAAGGTAAGGGAGGATAGCTCTGAGAATGGGGGGGGTGAAGAGAATGTGTGCTTCCACCTTCAATCACCCTGGGACAAGGTGAATTCTGGAGCATAATATGAGGACTCTGTGGGGAAGATAAAAGCAATGGCCCCCTCCCAGAACCTTGGGGATTTGAGGAATGTACTTTAGGGAGGGAAAATTGACTCAAGGGCACTCTAGCAAGCATTTAGGCTGGCCCTCCAAACACTGTGCTGAGGCAGTCCAGGGCCAGCACTAGGGTGAGGCCAGCAAGACCGCCAGGGGGCAGCATGTCAGGAGGCATTCCCTCCTAGGGTTGTACAAGTGGCGTGGCTGGCATCACAGAGTGCATGCCTTCTGAAATTCTGTTCTCTGGGGGCCTTGCTTGCTTCACCCTAGTCCTGGCCCTGTGTGGCACTCTGATTATTGGGGAATGAGCTGTGGCAGAGTCTCACTCACAGAAGTTTAATTGCTGAATCCTGAAAGTTTCAGTAAATTAAGGATGAAAGCAGGGGCTCAGAAGCCTGAGGGGAGCAGAACATGCCAAATGCGAATCGAAATACACAGCTTTGACACATTGATTATTCTGAGTGGAAGGCATTTGAGAAACAGCACATGCAGGAAGGGCTCTCCGAACTTCTCCTTTCTACCTAAAAGCAGATCATAAAATTTCCCATAAGAAAAGTGTCCTCCACGTACCAGGAAGAGAACATTCTTATCACCAGAGATCGGGAGTCAATGCCAAAATTGATCTGTACAAACCAACCTACTAAAACAACCCTTATCTTTCATTACTTTCCCCTAATATTTCCTAGTCACTTCCTCACAATTTACCACTCCTAGAAGGTTAAACTCTTTTCCTTTGTCTTGTCATTTCTCCACAAATTTATTGTCTTTTTGATTAAAAAAAGAAAAAAAGGTATATAAGCTCTTGGTCCTAATTGCTTCTTCGGGTCTTCAGTTTTCCTATAAAGGCTCCAAGTGTACATAACAATATTCAATAAAATTTGTATATATTTCTCCTGTTAATCTCTCTTATGTCAGTTTAATTCTCAGGCCTGGCCACAGAACCTAAGAGGATAGAGGAATGGTTTTCCCTCCCCTGCAGGGGTCATGAATGTGTTAAAGAGACTAATTGAAAGTTTGAGTATACAGGAACTGTGAGCTGGAGAGAAGATAAAGGGTGAGGATGAATTCGTAGTAGGGAAAGAAACAGATGCAGAGAATAGCAGACAAAGAATAGCTGATCATGGTGCACTAGAGAGACAGTACTTCAGTTTTTACTGCTGAGGACCCAAGAGTTGTTTTGGATTCTGCATGACCACCCAGTCCCATGGGACCCAGCTCTACCATGGTTCCAGCCATTCATGAGTGAAGCTCTCTGTGGCAAGCTGCAGAAAATGGCTCTGACTAACTTAAGCAGAAGGGAATTTATTCAAAAGGCATTGGGGGGGACTTCCCTGGTGGTCCAGTGGTTAAGACCCTGCTCTCCTAATGCAGGGGCCTGAGTTCGATCCCTGGTCATGGAACTAGATCCCGCATGCATGCCGCAACTAAAAGATCCTGTGTGCTGCAACTAAGACCCAGCGCAGCCAAATAAATAGATACATAAATTTTTTTTTAAAAAAAAAGAGGCATTAGGGGTATAATCAAATTGACAGGAGGTGGGAGAGTCAGACTTGAGGACTGGTGGGAAGCAAGACAGCCCTAGAGACAATAGCTGTCTCGGTGGCAGGAATGGTCTGGTCAAGATGTTGCTATACAGACAGAGTGAAATTTGATAATTGATAGCTTCAGTCTCTTTGTCCCTGTGCTAGAGATTCAAATTCCAGGGAGGGAATATACAATGCCCTAGCTTGAGTCATGGGCCTGCCCTCCTAGCTTGGGTTACAAGCCAAATCTCAAACAATAGCTCCAAATTAATCAAAGTGGAAGAGGCAATAGGGGAAAAGGAAACTGGGGGGCTAAGAACAGGAAAAGATGAATATAGGGAAGCCAAACCAAGAACTGTCCACTGCCCAGCAACATGGCTTTCTGTCCTTTTCTGTGTTGCCATAGGCCTTCCCATATGATTCTGATTCCTGTCTTTTGATTCCTGTGAGTACCATTACCCTGGCTATCCCATAACTGTTACTTGAATGATGATTCTCAGTCCCTTGCAACAGAGACAGCTGAGGCAGATTGTGAGGCAAAGGGTGCTCTTCTGCTTTTTTTTGGTCTGTCTCCTACAGAAATTATCAAAAACCTCTCAAAAAAAGATCCCAACTTGCTTCTTCAGAGACTGTTTGGCTCTGCTGGATCCTCTTGACTTGTCAGCTTTTTCTTGGGACATTTTCCATGTGGGAAGGGAAAGGGGTCATAACATGATAGTATTTCCTTTCTCAGTTAATGTTTAGCATGGTTCGGCTCAGAGATCAGCCCAAATGGGCAATACATGGGCCCTTACACTCCCTCATTCTTTTTTTTTAATTGAGCTATAATTCACATGCCATAAAATTCACCCTTTTAAGTAATGTGACTCAGTGGTTGCTGTATATTCACAAACTTGTGCAACTATCACTACTATATAATACCAGAACATTTTCATCAGTTACTCCCCATTTTCACCTTCCCTCAACCTCTGACAACTACTAGTCTATTTTCTTTTCTTTTAATAAATGTATTTATTTATTTATTTATTTATGGCAGCGTTGGGTCTTCGTTGCTGTGCGTGGTCTTTCTCTAGTTGCCGAGAGCGGAGGCTATTCTTTGTTGCAGTGCGCAGGATTCTCATTGCGGTGGCTTCTCTTTGTTGCAGAGCACAGGCTCTAGGTGCGTGGGCTTCAGTAGTTGTGGTACGCAGGCTCAGTAGTTGTGTCTCATGGGCTCTAGAGCGCAGGCTCAGTAGCTGTGGTGCACGGGCTTAGTTGCTCCACGGCATGTGGGATCTTCCCAGACAAGGGATCGAACCCGTGTCCCCTGCATTGGCAGGCGAATGCACTTAACCACTGCGCCACCAGGGAAGTCCCTACTAGTCTATTTTCTGTCTCTATGAATTTGCCTATTCTGGACATTTCATATAAATAGAATCATATAATATGTGGCATTGTGTGTCTGGTTTCTTTCATTTAGCATGTTTCAAGGCTCATCCATGTTGTAACATGTATTAGTCCTTTATTTCTTTTTATGGCTAAACAACATGCCATTGTATGGATACATCACAATTTATTAATCCACTCATAATGATAGATATTTGGGTTGTTTCTACTTTATAGCTATTGTAAATAATGCAGTTATGAACATCATGTACAATTTTTTGTGTCCATGTGTGTTTTCAATTCTATTGGGTATACACCTAGGAGTGTAATTACTGGGTCATGTGTTAATTCTATGTATAACATTTCAAGTAACTGACAAACATCATCTGCAAGCTATAAGGTTCTATCCCAGATCTTCAGCAACACTTGGCCCTCATTTTTATTTTAACCATTCTAGGGGGTGAGAAATGGTATCTCATCGTGGTTTCCATTTGCATTTCCCTAATGGCTGATGATGCTGAACATCTTTTCGTGTGCTTATTGGCTATTTATGTAACTTCCCTGGAGAAATGTCTATTCAAATCCTTTGCCCATATTTTAGTTGGATTGTCTTTTTACCGTTTAGTTGAAAGTGCCCTTTATGTATTCTGGATACTAGTTTCTTATCTGATATATAATTTGCAAATATTTTCTCCCATGCTGTGGTTAGTTATTTCACTTTCTTGACATTGAAGCACAAACATTTTTAATTTTGATGAAGTCCAATCTAATTTTTATTTGGTGGCATTTTTTTTAACATCTTTTTTGGAGTATAATTGCTTTACAAAGGTGTGCCAGCTTCTGCTGTATAACAAAGTGAATCAGCTATACATAAACATATATCCCCCTATCTCCTCCCTCTTGTGTCTCCCTCCCACCCTCCCTATCCCACCCCTCTAGGTGGACACAAAGTACTGAGTTGATCTCCCTGTGCTATGTGGCTGCTTCCCACTAGACATCTATTTTACATTTGGTAGTGTATATATGTCCATGCCACTCTCTCACTTCGTCCCAGCTTACCCTTCCCCCTCCCTGTGTCCTCAAGTCCATTCTCTTCCTCTGTGTCTTTATTCCTGTCCTGCCCCTAGGTTCTTCAGAACCATTTTTTTTTTTTTAGATTCCATATATGTGTGTTAGCATATGGTATCTGTTTTCCTCTTTCTGACTTACTTCACTGACAGTGTCTAGGTCCATCCACCTCACTGCAAATGACTCAATTTCGTTTCTTTTTATGGCTGAGTAATATTCCATTGTATACATGTGCCACATCTTTTTTTTTTTAACATCTTTATTGGAGTATAATTGCTTTACAATGGTGTGTTACTTTCTGTTTTATAACAAAGTGAATCAGTTATACATATACATATGTTCCCATATCTCTTCCCTCTTGCATCTCCCTCCCTCCCACCCTCCCTGTCCCACCCCTCTAGGTGGTCACAAAGCACGGAGCTCATCTCCCTGTGCTATGCGGCCGCCCCCCATTAGCTATCTATTTTACGTTTGGTAGTGTATATATGTCCATGCCACTCTCTCACTCTGTCACAGCTTACCCTTCCCCCTCCCCATATCCTCAAGTCCATTCTCTAGTAGGTCTCTGTCTTTATTCCTGTCTTACCCCTAGGTTCTTCATGACCTTTTTTTTTTTTCTTAGATTCCATATATATGTGTTAGCATACGGTATTTGTTTTTCTCTTTCTGATTTACTTCACTCTGTATGACAGACTCTAGGTCCATCCACCTCACTACAAATAACTCAATTTCGTTTCCTTTTATGGCTGAGTAATATTCCATTGTATATATGTGCCACATCTTCTTTATCCATTCATCTGTCGATGGACACTTAAGTTACTTCCATGTCCTGGCTATTGTAAATAGAGCTGCAATGAACATTGTGGTACAAGACTCTTTTTCAATTATGGTTTTCTCAGGGTGTATGCCCAGTTGTGGGATTGCTGGGTCATATGGTAGATCTATTTTTAGTTTTTTAAGGAACCTCCATACTGTTCTCCATAGTGGTTGTATCAGTTTGTATTCCCATATTTGGTGGCATATTTAAGAAATCATTGGTTAATCCAGGGTTACAAAACCTTATACTCATGCTTTCTTCTAAGAGTTTTATAGTTTAAAGTTTTACATTTAGTTATTTGATTCATTTTGAGTTAATTTTTTTATATGGTGTGAGGTAGGGGGTACAAATTCATGTGGATTTGTTGCTGTCCCTGTGTCATTTTGCACGTGGATATCTTGCTGTCCCCATGGATATCTTGCTGTCCCCGTGTCATTTGTGGAAAAGATTATTCTTTTCCCCATTGAGTTGTTTTGGTATCCTTGTTGAAATCAAATGACTGTAAATATAAGGGTTTATTTCTGGACTGTCAACTTGATTCCATTAATCTATATTGCTATCTTTATGCCAGTACCACAATGCCTTGATGATTGTAGTTTTGTAATAAGTTTTGAAATCAAGAATTGTGTGTCCTCCAACTTTGATCTTTTTCAAGACTTTCACTATTTCAAATCCCTTGCTATTCCATGTGAATTTTAGGATCAAAAGAAAAGCTGTTGGTATTTTGATAGTGATTGCACTGGATCTG